CTCTTTCGACTACCACCAGCACTTCCACCTTTTCAACCCTAAGTGAACCGGTCTTTACAACAACTTCTCCTCTTATTTCGACTACACCATGTTTCTGCAAGATTGGTGATTCTATTTTTTCGCCCGGTTAGTGTGCTTTATTTTGGGTTTTTTTTTATTTATTTTCCCATTTTTCGTCTGTGTCGTTTTTTTGCTTGTTTCTTTTTCTTTATTATCCTTTTCCTTTGTTTGTTTTTTTGCCTTCCTTTTTTTTTTTTTTCCCCTAATGTTTTATTTTTTCTTTTTTTGCAGGTGACTTGATTTACAACAGACTTGATAGTGAAGGATGTCGTTTTTATGCCATCTGTAGCCCGACATGTAATATTGAACGACACAGTGTACATTGTCCTGTCACTACTTTGCCAGCTACCACATCCTCGGAGTGGTCTACAGTAACAACAACAGTTCCTCTGCCTTCCACCTCTACACGTCCTCCTTTTCATGGTTGTGTTTCCACTATTTACCCTCCTTTACAAGTATGTAATTTCTGTGTTATTTTTTGACTGTTGAAATAATATAATTTATTGGGTGATTCATGATTGGGAAAGTTTGGAGTTTTTAAACCTTATATGTGCTGATTGCCTTAATTATTTTGCTAATGATGGGCAGTGTAAATATTTGATTTTTCCTTTTTCTGAATTTCAGTTTTTTATACTGCTAAAGCAAGTGACAATATTCTTTTCTTGCTACTTTATTTTTAGTGAAACTCTTTGGTGCATTGCATATGTAAGGTATCTTCTCACTGACATAATAGAAGGTGTTTTCTTATTTATCTTATTTTTTCACTAAAGGGAAATATTTAAGGTCCAGTAAAGGCTTTGATCTGTTTCCATTCTACTGCCCTTTTATCTATACTCCTTTCACCTTTTTTATTCCTATGTTCTCTGGTGACCTTGAAGAACACTATACACAGAATAGAGGAAAGCAGTTCCTGTAGCCCAATACATGTCCCCAAGCTCCAGAGGAGTTCCTCATGCAGAAGAAACAAGTGTAGTTAAGGTTTCCACCTCCTTTTAGCATTAAAAAAGCTAATCCTGTACAATATCAACAACTTTTTTTCTCTCAGTGAAAATTTTCATTTTAGTCTTTGTTTTCGTTTCAGAAAAGTCAGTGTGGTTTATCCCCCATAACGTGGTCAGAATTTTTAATACCTCTAGTTGCCATTAAAAATCATTAATACCACAAGATGAAGAGAAGTAACACATACTTTCTTTTCCAACACTACCATTACTGGAAACATCATAGCATAAATCTTAACAAGAGGAGCAAAGGTTATATCTGTTTACAGAGTTTTGTGAAAAAGGTTTTTCTTCATTTTGCAGCCTGGAGAAAGATTCAAATTATCCAACTGTACTGAAGTCGTCTGCAATGGAGACAACAATATAGATGTAGTACCAACGTACTGCCCACCTGTAAAGGAAATTACCTGTGCAAACAAATATCCACCAATGCTGGTACCTGATGAAAATGGATGCTGTTACCGATATGAGTGTCAATGTAAGCATCAATAGATTCAGGAATAACATTTAAAAAAAGAAAAGCTAAGCTTTACACAGATTATATGGGCACTTTCATTTCTTAGGATTGCTCTTAGGGTTGCAGGATCTTCAGTTTTTAAAATTTCTTCTACCTAAATTCTCATCTTAATCTTCCAAATATTTTCTCTGTACAGGTGTGTGTAGTGGATGGGGTGATCCTCATTACATTACTTTTGATGGAACCTATTATACCTTCCTTGAAAACTGCACTTACGTCCTGGTGAAACAGATTGTCCCCAGATATGACAACTTCCGTGTTTACATTGACAATTATTACTGTGATGCAAAAGATGGACTCTCCTGCCCTAAATCCATTATTATTTTCTACAAATCTGCAGAAGTGGTGCTGACTCGTCAACTCATGAATGGTGTGATGACCAATGTGGTAAATATTTTTTTTCTATTTTTGCAAGAAAGAAATAGTGTCTATGAGCCTTACAGATGCTATTTGGAGATACAGTCTATTAGAATATCACATCATGGAGGTGATCAGGGCAGAGGGTATCACTAGGAGGGAAAAAAAAGGATTGCACTGGATGCTAAGAACAAAATTCATGTTTCATGAAAACTGGTACATTGTGCCGTACACTTATGTAAACAAGAACACTTTGAAGAAACACAAGTGCAAATTGCAAGCAGGAGTCTTCTCCCGGGGGGAAATGGATATGTATCCCTTATCCTCTGGATGTCTGCTTTCTCTCCATATGGAACTTCGGCACCAAACAGTCTTGAAACTATTCCCCCTTCAATTTCCTACAGTGAAGAGAGGTATAGCTGAAGAAAAGGGGTGTAGCTTAGACTGTCACCTCACCTTCAAGATCCAAAGCAGTGTTGACAAACCAATGAAAATTAAAAGATAGTCCCACTCTTACACTGGAGAATCTATTAGTTGATTAGAGAATCTACAGAAAGAGAGAAAATTTTGTCTGAAGAGGCACTCTTGCCTTACAGTGCCATGCCAAATTTTCAGTCAGAAACACACATTGGTGTCCTGTGAAAGAAGACAATAACTGACAATTTTAACTCGTGCTTTAGTCTGATTCAGTGAGAAAAGAATAACTTCTGACAAAAAACTATTAGGCAAGTAAGTTTACCTTTATTAACTCATGTAAGATAGTGGGCTACAAATTGAAAAGTTTAACAAATAAATATGATCACTACTACATAAAACTGTCACTAAAGGCATCTGACTTCATTTTGAATTCAGACAACTCTTCCAATGTCAATTAATATCAAATATAGAGATGGTGTGATTATCTGGCAAAGTTATTACATAATAATGGCAAGGATGTTTCTGTAGCTAAAGAAAACTACCACACATTTTCATATGAAAAATATTTCCTAGGCACATAATCATGAGGGATACAATGAAATACTCAAATACTCGTATTTATATGCATAGAATACTGTGTATTAGCATACAATCATCACAAACACAGTATGTAGAGGCCACTTAGATTATTATCACATTTTAGCAATACAGCAATACAAGCCAAGATATCAATGCAAATATATGCTGTCATTCCGATGCCAATGGGCACGGGATGTGATGAACAACAATATGGAGTTATCCATAATTATGAAGATTAGAAAATATATTATTTAAAACAATCAGGCAGAAGCACTGCTTATTCTGATGTGGTGTTTTGTTTTGTTTTTTAACCCATTCAGATGTACTTCAACAAAAAGATTGTTGAACCAGGCTTCAAAAAAGATGGCATTTCTTTCTCCACTCTTGGCATCAATATGATTGTTGAAATAGAAGAAATTGGTGCTGTCATCACCTTTAGTGGTCTGATTTTCTCTGTCAAGCTCCCATACAGCAAATTCGGCAACAACACCGAAGGACAATGTGGTAAGAAGGCTGCCCAGATTGGAGCAGGTCCTCTTTCCCCACCCCTACCTTGGGGTGGGGTTATGCTCACCCACTCTGGCTTTGCAGTCTTACAATGACAGAGATTTTTAAACAGCAGTAAATGGAAATGAGTACAGTTTTGCTCTTCAACTTCTGTAGGACTTCAAAAGCTCAATATTTCTTTGGGGCTGGGGTTTTACATCTGTTTGTTTTTCCATAGCCTGAAGTTCATATAACTAGAGGTTATGGTTTTTCCATAACCTCTAGTTCATATAACTAAAGTTCATAGAACTAGAGAAAGTGCTCCCTATGAAGCAAGGCAAAATATGCATTTCATGAGCACATCACACCTAAACATATCAGCCCAGGAATGTGTTGTGCATCTCTGATGTGGCTTAGGAGACTTACCCAGCTTGTCTCTTCCAGGAACATGTACAAACAATAAAGCAGATGAATGCCGCTTACCAAGTGGTAAGATCATTTCCTCCTGTCCCCAAATGGCTCATCACTGGATTGTTGACAACAACAAGTCATGCCATGGAGTACCAATACCACCAACTATAACCACACCTCCACCAAAGCCGCAGTGTCAAACACCTCCGCTCTGCAAACTTATCCTGAGCGAGTAAGAAAGAAAATTCATTTTTTCTAGACACAACTGTCTCAGTATCTTACAAGAAGAATAACAGCTATAGCTTTAGTATGTGATAATAACTGAAAATGTCAGCTTAATGACAGAATATATATGGTAAAAGGCCTTTGCAAAAGAAACAGTTCTGCCTTAATGATTTGCATGCCAAAGATAACAGCAAGGAGAGGTAAAGTCAGAAAATCAAGGATGCAGCGAGCACAAAAATCAATACTCTCTGGATGCAACACTTCCAGAGTTTGTTCATTAAGTATTAAGCAAAGACTGAACTCTAAATTTGAAGTGGGTCTTCAATACAAATCATAGAGAAGCCAGTTACCAAACAGATGAAGGGAGCAGATGCAAACAGCTGAGAAATGTCCTTCTTTCTTTGTATGTTTTACCTAAAATATGGAGTTCCAAAAGTGCAAAGGCTTGTTTCCTGAAGTATGTCCTATACCTGGGTAGGCTGACAAGGTTACTTATAAAAGCCCTCTTATACATGCTTTCTGTATTGTCTAGTAAGTTTGGAACTATTTTATGTGTCAATTTTCTGTTGCAACTTCTTTCATTCCTTTTTTCTCAATCTAGTGCAGTTGCCTTTTACACTATATTTCTGATGTCAAGCCACTAGAAAGCTGTATACACATACAGAAATACTATGACCATTAACATCTTTAGAAAAAAAAGGCACTACAGATTTCTTAATCTTTGCTGAATCTATCTCCCAGCTTACTGGCCATTCCTAGGATCTTGTTTCTCATAGTACCTTCCTTTCTGAAGCAGAGTCACATGCTATTAACCGGAAAGTGTTGTCTGACAGGAACAGACTTTGTATAATGGCTCATTAATATGGAAGGGGTTGCTTTCTTTACTGTCTGCAGGGTTTTTGCAGAATGTCATACCGTGATACCACCAGAACCATTTTTCAAGGGCTGTGTTTTTGATGGATGTCGCATAGATGATGAATTCATGCAGTGTTCCAGTTTGGAGATATATGCTACAGAGTGTGCTGCTAGAGGCGTCTGCATTGACTGGAGAGGAATGACCAACAATACATGTTGTAAGTATTGCAGGACTCAAATATGTGTGATAAATGGTAGAAATTAGTGTTTTATTCACTAAACACATCTTATATGTGAAACTTGGTTACTGTCTACAAAAACCCAGTGGGGTACTTTCTCACAGAAGCTGCAGATTAAGAAGGCAAAGCTGTAGTATTTTTTTTCTGAAAAAAAATGCATCTACTGTCAATTTTTAATTTTTTTTTTTTTTGTCTTTTTCTATACAGCATTCAGCTGTCCATCAAGCATGGTATACAAGCCATGTGGGCCCATTAACCCAGTTACCTGTGACCAAAGGTATGAAAAAACAAAAACACCCGACCCTGAAGCACCTGCTTATATTTTTCTTATCTACTTTCCTCAGAAATTTGAGTTATTGCACAATGAAATGTGTTGCGAATTTCACTAACTTATTCAAGATTTATAAATACCAATCAGCTCTAGGAACAGGTGCTTCCTGTTGCCCTTCAGAAAGTGTACATTTTTTGTCTCTCTTGTATCTGACATGACACACTGCTCTGCCCTCTGCCTCACCACAAGTGTTGTACTCAAGCAGATATATTCTTCCCATTCCAGCTATGAGCGTCCTGGCTATGGAGTAACTGAAGGCTGTTTCTGTCCTGAAGGAATGACACTCCTGCATACAGAGAGCAACATCTGTGTCTCTGAATGCTGTAAGTCATCTGTAGCTAATTTGGGGAATAAATAGAGATAGGGATTGTTAGTCAGGAGGCCTGAGTTCTATAGTCATCTTCTACATGGTCAGATCATCGCACATCAGCTTCCCTGAGTGTCCCCAGTCACAAATTGAATAATAGTCAATGTTTCCCTTTTCCCCATCCATCATTCCTTATGTGAGACCCACTAAGATGGTAGAACTCTAAATTCAGCAAAATTAGTCTGCATATTCATTTTCTTGTTAGCTTTATCTTCACAGTATTTTTATTTGAAACTGCATGTATGTACTCCTTTGTCAGTTTTCAGTGGTGTAAATACCCATTCATTTGTTTGTCTCTTTTTCTTTCTAGTCTGCAGAGAACCAAATGGAATGTCCAGATGGGTGAGTATCACATTGAGTGTGGCTTAATGAGCACAGACAAGTGAAACAAGATGATATTTAGTGTTCTACTAAACCAAAGCTTTGTCACAAATGTTCACTTTCAGTCTTAAAAATAATGAGTACTAAAGCACCCCTAAAAAAATTAACAATAAGTGATAAAATATTCTTTCAATAACCTCAAATACAGGAAAAAAAACCTTAAAAAAAAAAAAAGGAAGAGAGAAATAGAGAGATGGTAGTAGTGGAAGTTAGGCATTACGCTTATTTTATTTCCACAAATTTGGCTTGCTAAAATTACTAGAAATTAAGGGAGACTTTACCTATTGCTTATCATGTTCATATCTTGCATTCAGAGTTCCTCAGCTGCACAGAAATCAGCAACCTAATGTGAAAATAAGTATGTCATATGATAATTTCTTATTCAAAAATGGATGTGAGGCTCAATCACTTCTCCTTTAGAACTCCTGTAACCTTCATACTAATACTATTAACAAATAGAAAGTAATAGCTTTGTGAACTCAGAACCTTTAGTGGCCTCCAATGTCTTCCCCAAATAAGCAGTTTGAGGGTCTCCTATAAAATCTAAAATATGAAAAAACTTATATAATCAGTTATCACTATATGCATGAATATGTCAGCTAGAAGCAAATAAAATTATTTTGGTTTAATTTTCTATTATAATTTTTTCTTTCCTTTGTCTGTGTTTTTCTTTATTATTTAGCCAGGAGAAAAATGGACAAAAGATTGCCGGGAATGTGTCTGTGACAAAAATACTCTTAAGGTGAAGTGTACAAGGCACGAATGTTCTCTGACACAGCAAGTATTTTGTGAAGAACCAGGTTACATGGCTGTTCAGATACCAATACCAGAAGATCCATGCTGTACTAGGACCGAATGCTGTGAGTACTGTCTTTGTTCTCTATCATGGGCAATATGCTACATTACTTTGAGGAAACTACAGCAATCATTTCACTTTTTTTAATACTTTGCATTGATGCCATAATGCTTTTTTCCCTCATCCCGCTTTTTAGAGCCTTCTTGCAGAGCATACAGTAAACGCCTGAAGATAACAAATGTAAAGATTAAAAGATTTTACATACTTAGACATAGAAAAGTAACTAAAAATCTTCTATAATTTAACATTAAAGCATTTAATACTGCCACTATCTGAAACAATATTCAAAAACCATTAAAAAAATTTTCAATTTCAAAGACCAATATTAGGAAAATTAAAAAAACAGTCCTGGCTATTTAAAAATTGCTCAGGAAAGTTCCAGAACCAGTTATCAGACCAGAGAGTCATCAGATTTCTCCACCAGTACAAATTTCTCTTTGAAATTATCTCTTTCCAGCAATTACTACTCTGTTCTCCTCAATGTTTTGTTTCACAAAGATTATGGGAAAGCCTAATTACATTGAAAGCACCTTGGCACATAGAATGAATTAGTAATTAAACTATCTTGTGTAAACACCATATCTACCTTATGGGAAGACTTCAGAAGTTAACGTAAAACAAAATTGCTTTAATTCAGAAATTCTGAGCTTATTATTTTCTATATTCTCTTACATGAAACAGACTGCAATACAAGCCTCTGCACTGACATCACACCCCAGTGCTTAGAGGGACAGGAAATAATCACTATAATGCCACCTGGAAACTGCTGTCCTATCTTTGAATGCAGTAAGTATTGTGCACCCTCCTCATGTGCTATTTACTGCTGTATTTTTCTAAGTACCAAAAACCTTATAAGAGAGATGTAAGTTATCTGTGGTATCATATTGAGCCTTGTCGTGAATGAGTGTTTTAAGGCCACTGCCACAGGCTTATGAAATGGGCCTACAAAGCTATGAAACAGAAGTTTTTTCATGCATTTCTGGCTCCTAAAACTTACACCTCCTTCTTCCTTCTTTACAGGACAGGGTTGTGTAGTCAACGAAACCTATTATGCAGTAAGTACACAGAGTTACTCACTATGAAAATATACCCTCACATAGTTGGCAGAGCAGTGTTTTTGAGACACCCATCATGGTCCATATTTTGTAGGAAGGCCTGAGATAAAACATTATTCATTATTTCACTGAGGTGATTCACCCTCTGTACAAGCAAAATAATGTTCTGCTCTCCTCCTTTCTACATCAGCAGAATTTGATTCCAAAATCAATATTACCAAACCAGAAACTCTGCTTAAATAAAACAACCAAAATTGTATTTATGGATAGCTTAGCCTATTCATAGGTCATCTTTGTATTTTCTGTGATGTGTATGCACAGAGCAACTTAACTGACCAGTAATGGGTTTTTCCAACTTCCCCTAGCCTGGAGCTGCCATTCCATCAGGCCCCTGTGAAGAATGTACCTGCTCTGCATCCTCTCCCTCAAGGCCTCACCACCTTACGGTCACGTGCCAGCCTGTCATCTGTGACACATACTGCCCGCTGGTGAGTGCTGCTCTGCTGCTAGAAACTCCTACCCCACTCAGCTCAAATAACCAGCAGTTCAGGCCAGTGACCTGACTTAATGCCATTGTCTCTCTATTTCTTTCAAAACAGGGCTATAAATACACTGTGGAACCCGGACAGTGCTGTGGCACGTGCAAGGCAGCAGCTTGTGTAGTGACCGTGGGAGACAACATTACACATGTGCTCCATGTAATTACCTCTGGTTTACCTCACTTTTGGGGAACTCTGCTAGTCTTTCCATTCTTTCCTCTCCTCGTATTTGTCATATTTATTTCCTCCATCTTTTCTCATATTAGGCAAATGCTTACTCAGGCAGGGGCTGGACAATCTCCACACAGCCTAAACAATACCTTACACCACAGAACGCCAGCTCTAAGGCTTCTGGCAGCAACTGTGCTATGATACTGAACAGTGGCTTTCAGAAATCAACATAGGAAAATACATAGGTGAAAGCAAAGGACTTTTGTTTGCCTCCAGTTCTGAAACTGTAGCACCCATTTTTCTTAAAGGATAATTTTATCTGTGGAGGCATTTTGACACATCCATAAATTCTAATGACAAAACTATTGAAATGCAAATCATTCTTTCCAAATGAGTCCGTGTACTTACCCTATTCATACAAAAAACACATCTCTATCCATGTAAAAATAGAACCTCTTCACCTGGTTAATGAAAAACACTTAATAGCAGTATGATAATATGGCAAATAATTATCAGCTGAAATTCAAGGAAGTTGTTCAGAATAATCAAACTACTATATGCAGCAAAAATAAGACATTGTTTCATTTTGATATAAGAAGATTTTAATTTGCATTAATTTTGACTACTTTCAGGAAGGAGAACACTGGAATCCACCTGGTGATAACTGTACTGTTTACACATGTGAAAAACATGCTGACCAGTTCATTCAAGTCGTCAAAGAGGCAAGCTGTCCTGCCTTTAACTATGATGAGTGTGATCCAGTAAGTACTGTTCTACTAGTTCTCAGTTTTGGACAGGTTGCAGTGCCTAACACCAGTGATAGAAGGATCATAGTGTCCACTGAAAATAACTAGCAGGAGCACCATGCAGGAAGTACCTCTCCTTTTATCCTCTCTGAACCTGATCCCAGTCAAGTTTTATCTCAGAAAAGCAACTCAAAATTAAAATGAGTGTTACAAAAATCCTCATTGAGGATCAGACATTAGAGAAAAGGATATAGCATAATATTTTGGATACATTAAAGTGTCAAGTGACCTAGAAGCAAAAATCAGCATCTAGCAAGTCACTTATTTCATCCATTGTGTTATCCTCTCTGTTATAATCCCTTACTTTTACTGACTTTGGTCACAATATTTTGACTTACATGTGCTAGGAGCTTTATTACTTGCTGAAATTATACTATTAAACTGAGGGTTTTCCTCCATTTCAATTTTCAAATCACTATTTTAATATTAATAAGAGTTATTTGCCCTTGATATTTAGCCTTGCTTGAAATTAGATTCCATGGCAATACAAAAATATACACAGTCTCTGGTGCCAGAGAAAATTAGGAAGCAGGGAAAGTCTGCTTTAGCATGCAGATATGAAACCTAAGTTATCTTTTTATGTTTTCCCACTTAAGGATGATATCAGGTTATCTGAAGATGGCTGCTGTTTAGTGTGCCGAAGAGTACCGAAACGTAAGTAATAATAATTTTGTTAAAAGTATTGATTATATGTGCCTGGTTGGGTATATTAGCCCATTTTGCACAATGGGTGCATAGACAGAAGAGGTGAACTGACCACGTTTCGGTTCACTGCTTCACCGGGGTGAGAAAGGAAACAGGTGGAAAAGAAAGGAACAGGACACTTCCACTATGCATTTTAGGTTCTAGTGAAACAGATGGTGAACTTTCCCATCCCTTTCTGTTAAATGCTGGCTTTTTTGTGGGAGGGTGATGACTATGACTACTCTCCAATTTCCATAAATACATTCTCTTTAAGGAGGAAAGTGAAGCCAGTTCTGAGAGATGAGTGTGCATAGAGCAGTTGCCACAGTACTGCTCTTAATTTCTGCATTCTGAATCAAGTTGCCTAAGAAAAAGGGAAAGTTTCATCCACTGATAACACAAACAGCAAGTCCTCATTTGGCCCTCAGCAATTGAAAGAAAAATGCATTGTGACGTAGTTTTCTATTTCAGCCCCATCCACCTTAGTTTTCAGTTACAAACTGTCGTATCATATACAGCTATCTATTCATATGCATATGTATTTTAACCTGTTTTCCTTTGCTTTGTGATGACCTCAGTTTGTATGAAGTACAATATGACTACTGTCATCAACTATCATGGCTGTGTATCTCCTGCACCTGTTGAGATCACATACTGTGAAGGCAGCTGTGATGCTTACTCACGGTAAGTGGCATAAAAGATAATTGTGGCCTCTTGTCTTCTACTCTTTACACCAGTTAAATCAAGCAAATCACAAGTGTTTTTCTGATGTGTCCAACATCCACTCCATCATCAACGGTTTCCATTGTGCTAATTATCATGACATTGTACGAGCATGATTTCCTTGAGATTCAGTGTTCAACAGCTTGTTCAGCACCATAGTGAATAGACCCAAATTTTAATTTTGCCCATTTAAAACTGAGGTTATTTGTTTCTCATTATTATCTCACTGGACTGGCTTGCTGTGTGATCTGGAATAAATTTTTACTTTTTCTGTGCCTTAATGAATACTTAGAGTCATAAAATTTTACAATGAGAAGCAATTTTCCTGTATTTCACCAAAATACTGTAAGAATGCTAATATTGAGCAATAGTCCCACACGCAAGTGCACAATTTCTGGTTTTGTAATGGGTGGGAGGGGCGGTGTTATTTCTCACATAAATTCTGAATCTTTCTCATTGTTTTTTCTATCAGATATTCTCAAACGACAAACACAATGGTGCACAAATGCTCGTGTTGTCAGGAAATCAAGACCAGCAAGAGGAAGGTGACTCTGATGTGCAGTGATGGAACCTCCCTTGATCACTCCTACACCTACGTGGAGAAATGCAGCTGTGTGGGTGCTGAGTGCATTACCCAAGGCAACACCCAACAGGAGACACAGCAGACAAAGACCTCTCAGGAGCAAGCAAATGCCAAAAATTACAACTAGAGAGAAGTCCTCAAGCAAGGGCTGAGCATAAGACTAAATAAAGAAACTTCAAAAAATACAAAAGTGTCAAGAGCAGCTAAAATTTTGGATGAACAGATGATGTTTCCTGCATAAACCCCCTGTATGTCTGTCTACAGAATTTCAGCTTTCATTATCAATGTATCTCCCATTGGTTTTTACATCTTTTCTTTTACACCTTGAGAGGTGTAAATTCATCTTGACATTTTCTGTTCATTTGTCTTCTGGGAAGTGCTGGACTTCTAATAACATTTTCATTCCAGTTCACCGAGAAAAATCAAAAGGCAAATCCAGAAAACAAACCAAACCCAAGGAAAACTGTACCCCTCTGCTTCTATAGGTTTCTTTTTTCTTGTTGAGGAAAACTTAGAGGGCAGAAGGCCATATATTTTCAAAACTATAAACTTCAATATTTTGAACAATTTATAATGGACATATTTCCCTACCTGTTTTTGTGAGGAAAAGGAAAAATCCTATTGTGAGAAGCTGCTGCACACTACTTTTTGTTTACATAACACCATCAGCATAGTAGCTGTATGAAAATATGGATTTTTAATTTTGTTTTGTTATGTGGTTAATTGTTTACAGAAGAAATATATATATATTTGCCAACAGAGGCATATGAAGGATTTTTTTAGCAAAAGTATAATAATAATAATAATAATAATAATTGTAAATTCTTTCCTAGGAAGCTTAAAAAAGTTGGACCACTACTATTTATTACTTTTTTTTTTTTTTTTTTGAAAACTGATTTATTAGGTAATTTCTTTCACAATTAATGTTATCCCATTTCTTACTCTCAGTCATGTTGTCTGGGTATGGTATATTTTCTTTTGGTTTTGAATATTATTTTATTTTTGTTCCTTAAGACACAAAAAAGCAATTATGATTAATAAATTTTGAGCATTTTACAGCATGTCTGCCTTGACTTTTCAGTGAATCCCTTGCATGAGAGTTGCTGAGTCCATAAAACATAGTTCCAGGTCAAAAGTCAGTGTGGTACCTAACACCCTATAGAGCTTTGATACTGCTTTGAATGAAAACCACTCAAACCCAAACATTTGGAAGTGTTCCAAGCACATCACCTCAGCTGCTATCACTTAGTGAACTCTCAGAGACAAGCATCTCTCTGAGTCTGCATGTTTTGTAGCCCTGAAAGTTCTTTACCTGTTTGCCATAAACTAGCCAAAGTATTTCAAACCAGTCTCTCATGGTTTAGAGCCCACTGCAACATAAATAAATCCCTGAAATTGCACTGTTGTAAATATATGTGGCTGCTACTGAGAGGAAAGCTCATGTCTCTACAAACAATTTGCTGGGTGAAGGTTGGGTGTTAAGGTCTTTGAAATGGGTCCCGGTGTCTCTACCGACTTTGGGCAGCAGGTTTGTTGCAGAGCCCAGGCAGTTCTGCTCCTGAAACAGACAAGGGTCTGCACAGCCCGAGTTCCTGAATTTTAGGGTAAAACGGTAGGTGCAAGGTGGGATATGTGGTAGGTGGTTCTGGAAGGCTGAACCTTCCTGGTGCCTCAGCCAGTGGGGAAAGGGAGAGGGCAACATGCAGCTGGGAGCTGAGGATAAAAGGAGAGTGCCCCCTCTGAAACCTCCAGAGAGAAAATGCCACAGGTGTGTGTTGTGGTAGGCTCTCTCCCTTTATTCAAATAAAATTGCAGGAATCTCTGGTCTCCTTTTCACCTCTGGCATTTGTGGAATTTTTCTTACACTACTCAGCTTTAGTAACAGGGTACTTTGAACCAGCCACCACAACTCTGACTGTACATTGTATAGTGCAACATTCTATGAATAACTGCTCTAGTATTTGTAAGGGGAGCAGTAAAAAGCTGAAGTTGTTTTACTAAACTTTTCTCCTACCCTATAGTTTGGAAGGCTCAACACAGGGAGTAACAGGGTGCCCTGCAGCAGCTTCGGCTGCTCTCACACCTCTTTTTCTTTTACATGACAATAACCACCCCTGTAGTTCCCCCTTCAGAGGCAAGCACTGAGTTTTCCGTGAGAAACACTAACACCATCAGACTTCCTGCTGGCAGAAATCCCCAGCTCCGGTCCCAGCTTCCTGTTGACAGTTTTTTCCATGCCTTGGGCTCTTTTGCTGCCCAGCGAGGCCCCCAGGTGGCACACTGCTCTGTTCCTCCCTTCCCAGATAACCCGCCAGGCTTCCCACTGCAGCACCACTGCTGAATTCATGACTAGTTCAGTGTGTAACAGAGCTTCTGGCCCTACCAGGCAGGCTAGGAAATTATTCTTCTCCTGTTCATTCCAGAGAAGGGAAATGATGTCTATTATAGAAAATCAATTATTATGCACTTTGTTGGTCCACAACAGCTCCTTGCCCACCGCTGAGCTACTGAAATGGCAGATTTCCTGCATGTTGCTTCAAGATCATTTGTTGTTTTCCCATACAAAGCCTGTATTTCAGCATCCCAGAAGATATCCTATTTCCTGGAGATCCCTGTGTGTAATAAGTCTGTACCACTAGCCATTTCACACACTGAAAGAGAAAAAAAATAATACAATGAGGAAGAAGAGAAGGGGAGACATGTGGCACATGGAAGCACTGACAGGTGATAATGGGACAGCAGGGTTTGGTGGTATAAAAAGGAAAGAAAAAACAGAAATAGAAGCAAGAGCACTGACAGCCTTCAGTCCTGGCATGGGGAGACAGGAAGCAAGGGGAACATAAGCCAAGGTAAATCATGGAGACACACAAGGCTGTGCCTGAGGAAGTACTGGAGACCCTGCCTTGGAGAAGGAAGGATTTCTATCACAGATGCAGTCCCAGTGCTGGGAAAGAGCAAATGGGAACCCTCAGTTCAGAAGAAGGACAGGGAACAATGCTTTGGGCATTAAAGACAAAATGAAAGATCTTGAAACAAGACATGGAGTACATATAAACCAGAGCACTGCAATGGATGCAGTAGAGCAGACTTACATTCTTCCTAAATTTTCCTTTACACAGGACCTATCTTTGCTCTGAGTTGTCGCTGACACAGATTGGGTAATAGCTCCAAAGTAAACCTTCCTACAAGCTAGGACAAATTATGCCACTTACCTTATTATGCCATTTTTTAAAACCATAGATTAATAATGGAGTCAATAAATGATTGGGTGGGAGAAAGTGTTTGGCTTGGCAGGTCTTTCCTGACAGGTCAGAGTACCTGCAGGTCACCCTGAGCCGTGCTGGTGTAGATGGTTGATGTTTGTTACACCTCTGGCAACACCAGAGGGCTCTGGGCTCACAGCTTACAGACGTGGATGAGCAGGTTTGCTGTCAGAAGAGTTTCTTTCCAGGCACTTCAAAGTGAGCCACACAACTATTCCTTACTTTCAGATCCTGAGCATGGGCTTTGCCCTTAACATACTCCTGAATCTACAAGCATCCATTCCACATAACATAACAAGATTTGTTCATACATCACTTAATTTTTTTTTTCTTATCTGATCATCGTTGCAGCAGAGAAATCATTCACTTAGAGGTTATTCCAGCTGAAAAACCCCACCAATATTCAAAGTTTTAGTGTCTAAACTCAATATTGAATTAATGGGCATTCATACCTTCACTCTCAACTCTGGTCTCTTGTTATGTGGCTCAAGTTTTTCACGACCAGCGTACTGTTATTCCTTCTTCCCACTTAAAACTCTGCAGTATAAATAACAAATTACTAATAATCACTTTTCAATTATTCATTGTAATTATCAGCAACATATGAACTATAACCTGAAATTATATGTCTATTCAGATTCCAGCTTTGAATCCACTTCCAGTAATTAATTTGCCTCTTAAATCAAGGCAGTGTTTAAACCACATCATTTTCTGAAAACATCTATTGAAAACATCTATTGAAAGACTTAAGGTTGTTTGTGGCACAGCTCAGGAGCTGGGCTGATAACAGAGAACTCAAGAATGGAAGCCACACTTCATAATAGTAAAAACCCAACTCAAAGAAAGGAATTTTTTCACCTCTTCAGTAGGTTTTGTTCTAACCATTGCAAAAAAAAAAAGGCCACTCTCTGGCAACAAGCCAGATTAAGATAGAGTTTTATAACTGAAAAGGAGACTAGTTCTATTCAAACATTATTAATGTAATAATAAAACAATTATAAATGCACAGGAAGTACATTTTTGCAGAGGATGCAGTGGTCATGACTGTCCAATTTTCCTTTGCTCTGTACAGCTTCAAAAATTATCTTCCTTCTTGATCCTCTGATTTCTTTTGGCATTCATTATAACTCCTATTTATAACTACAATTTGATTATGAGTAACCAGCAAATGTTTCCACTATTAAAACAATTGGGTTTGGGTTTTCTTAAATAGACAGAAACTTATTCTGCCTGCCCCTAACTGCCCTCCTCCTGTTATGACCATGCATAGAAAAATAAAATCCCACTTTTCCCTCCTTCTGATTTAAGAAAGCAAAGGCCGTCCAGGCAGTCAAAAATGGAGCTCTTAAATAGAGTAATTGTGGATATGTCACACGCTTAGTCTCACAAAATTAAAATGTGTAAAGTCTTAGTAGCCAGTCCTGAAACTAAACCATTGTTTCTGTATTCCAGTCTAGCTACAACGATCACTGGGATTCACTGACTTTTAAAAAAAAAAAAAAAAAAAAAAAGGAAAAAAAAAAAAAAAAAAAAAAAGGAAAAAAAAAAAAAAAAAAAAAAACCAAACCAGAAATACTTGAGAGGAGCATGATTCCAAGGCAAATTTGAAACTGGCTTTTGTTTCAGACAATGTCAAATGTGAACTCTGCAACTGTTCCCTCACTCAGTGAGAAGTCAGTCAAAAACTCTCATTCCAGTCTAACTGACCTCTAGAGAGGTGGGAGGCCAAAACTGAGCTTTCTGTATTACTCAAAGTCACAGCTACTGAAGCACATGGCTGCCAACTGCAACACAGCCATAACATGGAAATCTGCAGAAAAGACATGATAAACACCTTCATGAAATGACCTCCTGCCACAACAGA